CTGAATCATTTCTTTATGGAAGGTATTTGCAGGAGTGTCACAGGTCACCAACCAATGCATCATTAATCAAATTTTCACAATTTAAACACAAAGATAAAAAGCCATTCAATCATTTTAAAACAGTAATAGGGCTTTTATAATTCAAGATTCTGTCATCCCTTGGCCTTCGGGTTTTCAAAAGCATTCAGAAAGCTAATAAGGACAATATAAAACCTTTAGAGAATGCTAGTTTTATTTTGTTCCACCTCCAGTTTCCACTTGGTCGTTAAAATCTTTCACTCTCAGAAAAGGAAAAACCTAATCATTCCCAATTTTGCAGAGCCTCATTTAAAAATAACAAAACAGTTGGCAAGAAGCTTTCCATTAGGAAGCCTAGATTAAAAAAAAGAGATGGGGGTCATTGAATAATGGCCTTCTTTCAGAAGAAACATGTGCTAGCTGATTGTGGATAATAAAAATACTGAAGTATTTTCAACTGAAAGCAATTTTTTTTAACTGCTGAAATGCTAGCAACACTTTTAAGGGATGTGCTCCACGATAAAACAGACCACCATGATAATGACTGCTTTAAAAACATCTGAGATGGACAGTCAGCTATTAGAGATGGCTGAAGGTCTGAACCATTCCATTTTCCTAAGCGTTATAGTACGGATTGATTTACCTAACTGAACATCAGTGGTGAATCGAAGCCTATGGATCATGCTGACTTTGAAGGACTTGTAATGGTGGCTACTGAGCATGTCCTGAACTGTAGCTATATCGATCTGAGGGTCCTCCTCCGAGACCTCTTCTCCTCTTGAACCTGCAAAACAAGCCAACAGTAATGAACGAGAGGTTTAAAATACGGCATACGATTCAGCTAGCATGTAAGTACGGCTGTGACGCCTGCAGCTGCAGACGGCTTTTTAAGAAAGAACACAATGCTCAGGTCTGTGTCTCTGGGAGGAGGAAATTCGCACCCTCCACCCAAAGACAAAATCAGCAATGCATTAAGGGCGTTAGGATACACATTTGCGTCCCGCAGGAAGAGCAGTGCAACATCCCAGCGGCATTCTCACGTGACACGAGACTGCCCTGGACCGCAGACATCCCCGGGGGCTGACCCACAGCCTCCCGCCCCGGGAAGGGGCCCGGCGAAGGGGGCCTGTCCCCAGCCAGGGCGGCATTTTCAGGTGCCGCCCTCGACGCGCGCCCTAGCGCAGTTCTCCCGTGTTTCAGCATCCCCTGCGTGGGGTGGGACGCTGGCGTCTTGCTGCAGCGCCGGCAACGCCTTGGGCACTCGGATCTTAGCCCTGCAGTACCGAAGCTGCGCTTTATTTACTGATTAGTATTCTCATTACTACTGCAGGTACTGGCTTTATAAAAGGTAACATCTCATTAAGCCAAAATGCCAATTACTGAAAAAATATAACTCACTTTAAAGATTTTTTACATTTTATGACGTTGGATTAACACCAATTTAAACATTACTATAATGCGATATATAATTTTGTGCAGAGTAATTTCTATGCCAGCTGCTAATAAAGCATCTCAGCTCTAAATGATCATTCAGATGCTGTTAGATAAAGTGGTATAAATATGTTTGAAAACTGATTTAGCTTCTTACAGAAGATATTGAAGAATGACACGTTTTGTTTAATATCCCAGCTAATGTAGTCCTAAAAGCTGAATCAACTGCCAGCTCAGAGTACTAAATTTGCTGCACGAGATTAATGAAAACTTTATATTTTGCTGAAATTTTAATAATGGGAAGATGAGATGATGGAATTTTAGTACAAGTCTTAAAGATCCAGCAAAGCAGCCTAAGAACTTGTCAGATTTTTTTGTATTCATTTTGTTCGAGGCTTGCACAGTGGGAGCAGCCTCAACACCCACGCCTCCCGCACGGCCCTTTCCCTCTGGGGATGGGAACTCCCACCCCGTTCAGGGACCTCGGCTCGCAGGGAAGCCAGGGCGAGTTTCCATGTTTAGGCCCTGACAAGGGGACGGTTTGCCAGGAAAGGCCCCGGCTCCCAGGGGAAGAGAACCCTGGCGCTTGTCTTGGACACATACTGGTGATGCAGAGGCGGGCTCCCCTTTAGCGGGGTAATTTAGAGCTGCAGAAGTACATGCCGTTTGCTTCAGCACGGGAAGCTGTTGGGGTGGTGGCCATAAGCAGGACAAACGAGAGGCGAGAGAGAAGAAAAACCCCACCTGAGCATGGAGCATTTTTCCTGCTGGCTGAAAGCGTTCCCTTTTCTATCTGTTAATTCAGTAACAAATGTCACTGCTTATGATAAATATCTTTCATGTCTGTATCAAAGTAAGGTTAGCATTTGCTGTTAAATGAGTCAAAATACATGTTGAGAGCATAAAGTAGGAGATACCCATTTCACAGACGTTAGTCACGTAAGCTTTCCACCCTGCCCGCAGGAGAGCAGGCGAGCGATGCCCCCTCCTCGCCGCTGCCAACACAGCCTCCGGACAGGCAACTGGGGCCTTTCTCTGGGGAAGGGGGACAGCGAAGGGTTAAGCTACAAACTGGGCTGTGCCATTCGACTTGAAAGAATTCCAAAAATCAAATGAAACAGCCTACATGTGAATTTATGCAGAGCCATCTTAACATTGCAACCACTCTATGCTCCAGAATGACAAGATAAATTGTAATGGCTCCTTCAGAGACATTACAATGTATTTTGTCAAAGACCCCTGTGTTAATGTCTCTATACTATGGATTATCATAATGTATCATGTCAAACCCTCATGCTGCAGTACTTCAAAGATACACTGAGATATGTCAAACTTTTTGGTGCACTTAAAAGCGTCTTGAAACACTGTGGCATGGCGGTGCCTGAAAGCAAAGCAGGAGGATGGCAATGGCACTGCTGCCCCGCAGTCGAGAGCGAACGGGGACCCTCTTTCACCGATGGCAACAGCACGCCGTGCTGGGATACGGGCCGCGGCACAGCGGGACCACGCGGTTACACCTGGGTATCGCCCTGCCCGCAGGGCAGTTAGGGGTTGGGGACAGGCAGGGACACAGCGGGCAGGGAAGGACCCCCAGAGACAGCGACACGGCGTGAACCCAAGCAGCGCAGCGGGGTCGCTGCTGGCGGGAGGGGAGAGGAACCCTGAGCCCCGTGCACCCCGTCTGCGGGGAGGTCATTAGTGCTGCCCCTAATGAAGCCCTGCTCTAGGATTCAAAGAGAAGCTGCCTCCGCGAGCCGTTTCCGACGGCGGGGTGCGCCGTGCGCTGTGTCCTGCGCCCTGTGCCGTGTCCGGCCTCCTCCCAGCGCCCGGCAGCGCTGTAATGGCGGGTGAGGAGGCTCACCTCTGCGCAATGGGCACCACTGCAGGCAGCGGGGTCTTAAGTACTGTGTTATATGTAAAGAAGTGCTAGCACCAGCAGACAAACTGAATCGGCAGCGATAAGAAATTGAGAAATAGCACAAAGAACAGCAACATATTAACCTCGTCCTCACACCCGCTGCGAAATGTTCTTAAAACACTTCCCAAGACCGAGGCTCCCGCAGCGCTCTGCAGGGACGGCTGCCTCCGTGCTCCCAGCCTCCCCGCCTGGCCTCAGGCTGCCCCAGCCTCCCCATCCACGCCGAATTACCGGCAAAGCGGGGACATTCCGTGGCAACTTCACACCGCTATTATGAAGCTGAGTTTCCTCAGATTTCACACACTCAAATTAAAAGTATTAGAAAGAAAATTAGCAGCCTGCCAGATCGTATCCAGGGGAAAAAACTGCCACTGTAACTAAAAACGTGAGCACCTTGTCAGTGTCTAAACTGCAGGAGCATTAACTGCCGCAGCCGGAGCAGCCCAACAGTGGGATTTTGCTCTGGAAGCCTTTCAGATCCTCCGCGTATCGGTAACCTCTGCTGACTTTGTTTTATGAAGCTTTGTGAATGGATTCAGGTTTACAGAATTTCTACAGTTGCTGCTCTTGGGAGAGCAGCCAGGAACTCCACCATCAAAACAGATCATCTGTCTAAAGATGGCAAGACACGCGGACCCCTGAGGGTGCATTGGATAATAGCAGTAATATCAGTAACAACAGAGAGAAATGCCCTGCAGGGAAAAACCTGACTGCAGAACTTGGCATATTGCTCTCACCCCGCAGCTCTGCGAGGATGTCTGCGAGACTGCTGGCGTTCGGCAGCGGAGGGAAGAGCCATTTCCACCAGCTGATTGGGGGAAAAATCATAAAAATATTTTCCACATGCAAGCAGCTGTGAATAAACCTGTCAAATATTTACAGGCCTGTCAGGGTATTTGTAATGGAGATCACAGTGTGGCTTTTGAATGTAAAAGCTTCTGCTTGGGAAGACAATCAAGTAAAGTGGATGCTCCAGGTCTATTATTTAGCCCAAGAGCAGACCCAGCACTACAGCTCCGCTGGCAGAGAGGCCGCTCCGGCCTGGGAGGAACAGATTCCTATTCCAGAATCAAACTCCTTCCCATAATGACATGAAGACTCCGTTTGCAAGGACCTCTGTATTTTTTCCTTATAGTTTACCTAATTAAGATTTACTTTGTGAAAGAAAAAGTGAAAAAAGCTGAAGTCAGGTGTGGGATAAACAAGGCACAAGAGAAGAACCTGCATGAAGTGCAAAGCACAGCTATGTGGGAGGCAGTTCCCTTAGCCCAGGATCGGGGTTTAATTACTGGAGAAGTAGGGTAGGAAAATCCATGACCGGAGCAGGAAAAGACCGGCTGGGAGGAAGCCCCTGCTTCTGCTCTGCCATCCCCAAGCCAGGGACAGAGCAACGTGCGGCACAGCTGAACGGAGCCTCTTGATTTTCCGGCATCCTGGCACTGGTACACACTGGTACACTCATACATCCTGCTACGCACCGCGCCTGGTGCCAGTGCTTCCACCCGCCGTCGGAGCAGGCACGCGGGGGCAGAGCGAGGTTGGTGCTGGACACGGGGCTCAGGCCGGCGGCGCGGGAGCTGCCCGCAGGGGCTACGCTGGGCACTACCCGGATAACTTGAGACCAACCTCCCACCACCTTTTACAAGCTCTACTCATTCCAATTGCTTGCACTCAGCAGCAACTGCAGGCACCCTGGCAGAGCAGCGCCCTGCCGTGCTCGGGGCTGTGTACACGCCGTGCAGGTTGCCCCACGCTGCTGAACTTCAAATGCAACGTAGGTGACAATTAAGTCAGGTCCGGTTCAGCGGAGAGCACAGGCAGTCTGTGTTTGCAGACTCCATCTCCTGGACAGAACCACAGACACTGCACAGCTGATGATGTACTCACAGAAATGATGTTTTTAAATCCCCAAACCCAAAGTCACCGTGTGAGACGGCATGGTGCTGGAGGGAGGGAGATCCCATGCAGAAGCGTATGCGTTCCATCCACCTCTGTGTCTCTTTTCTTTATCCATCTGATGCTCATGAACTCTCCTGTCTCGGTCCTCATCAGAGGAGGGACTCGGGCAGCCCGTCGGACTGCTCTCCATCTCTGCTCAGATTGCTTGTGCAGCAAAACCATACAAACCATTAAACCACAGACTCCTATTTTTTAAAAAAATGGAGTGGTCTTTTCTGCTGACAGAAGCTGAATAAAAAGCAAAAATGGTATCAAGGGCTACACACTCCTACACTTCAAGACAGCCACTGTGGTGAGGCACTACCGTGTTTTAGAATTCACAGTCATGGCACCAGTTTGCAGCCTCTACATTTGACGCTCATCCAGAAAACTGACATATTTCCCAGTCTGGAAACAACAGCTGGAGATCTTTACTCTGTTGTGTTTTTTTTTTTTTTTTTGTTGGTTTGTTTGTTTGTTTGTTTGTTTTTTGCTTTGTTTTGGCTTTTTAAACCAGGTTACATATAGAGGTAGTATTTTTGTTCAAGTACTTGAACTACTGTGGAATACAGTTATATTCGTAACTCAGTCCAATCTCCTCATAGAAGATCCTGATTTTCAGATGGGACAAAGAGTAATGAAACAACAGGCACCAGAAGCCTGAGTCTGAAAACAAGCCAGAAGCTAAACCAAGGAGCCGTATCCAAAAGGGACACCCGTAAGCACTAGAGGACATTAAAAAATGACACATTAGTAATATCAGAATATTGAAATGCCATATGTAGCCTATTCAAGAGCAACTGAACCTGTATTTCCTCGATAAAACAACAAAATATAAAGTTAACTGCATCGCAAAAATGTCCCTTATTACTTTAATGTACTAGTATATTGCTTAATGAAAGTTCTTAATTGTAATACAATTAATTACATACACAGAGTCCCCAATTACATTTTCCAATAAGACATTGGCTTTGGTACAGGTCTAAAGGCACTAAACCAATTTTAATATATTAAGACCAATTTCTCTTGAATACTAATTACTATCTAATGATAAAATGAGAAAGAGGAACTTTCCAGAAGTAAGATGGTAAGAATAAAACTAAATTAGCCATGAATAGTTTGCTACTACACATAAAAGCATTTCGCATTACAAAGTGCAGGCTTTTAGTGTAAAGATAAATCTTAGTGTGAGTTAAAAAGTTCTGCATACTGGAAACAGTTTATTAGTTTGAATGCCATTAGTAAATGCTGGGTAGATAGGGGTTTTCTCCATACATATTTCTTAATAATGGAAAGTTTTCTGTTTCATTTAATACTCTGAAATAGAAACTTTCTATTTGCCCAAAGGAAACTGGCAGCTATTTTACTAGCAGATGTTTGGCATCATACATATATATATTTATAAATGAATATGTGACTATGAAGAACACATTTAAAAATAATAGCTGTTATAACAGAGTTTTTCCTGACTGGCACATCTAAGCTAAAAATATTTGAAATAAAAACAAAATGCACAAAATGGCTATTTCATTTTGATGTTAGGATCTTCAAGCTATTAGTTTATTAATAGTGCGCAACTGTCAATATTTCTATTCTAATGCCATGCCAACTATGAAATTCAATTTCTTATTGTGTATTGGGGGAACCAGGCGCTGCACAATGCATGAATTATGGCTGATGGTACGCACCGTGCTGTCCTTGGGCAGCTCTGTGTGCAGAGAGTTAACTGCGTGGGTGTCTCACATATCTCCCCGAGCGGGGACAATGGAAGATCACTTTAAATTTACCCACATTTTGGGGGAGAAACTACAAGCAGAAGATTTCTCCTGCATTCCTTGTTCGAGTTTGGTGTCAATTCAGAAAACATTCAGTAACAGAACAGCAGAAAAGAGACAGATTTCACGTAAGCATTTATTATTTTGCCTAGATTACTGTCAGCCTTGAACAAACTGCAGCAGTGACTTGCTCTTGAACTCTACAGAGGCAAAGTGTCTGTTCTGCCTTCGCTTTGCCATGTTCCAGGCGCTGGCTGACAAACAGGAGACCCATAAATGGGACAAAAAGCCACCACCTCCCAACGTGATGCCACTGCAGCAGGGGAGGATGGTGGCTGCAGCAGCAGCGGGAGCATGGGGAGCTCCGGGGAGCTCCCGGGGTCCAGCCCAGGGCCTTCCCCTTCGGGGGAATCACCGTCCTAGCGGGGGCTCCAGACCACGCTCTTAGATGGGCACGGTCAATTTGCTTAAGGAGGGCCAGGAAGGCTCACGAATCGAGAGTACTTTCGACTTGACAGCCTCAGGGATCTATCCTACACCTTTCCCCGTTCCGTTCTGCTGAGCATCCTGCTCTTGTGTCCCCTCGCCTAGGAGGGAAGAGGAGCAGTCGCTGCACAAGGACTTCAGGGAAAGGGAAAAGCGTTCCCCCGACATTTCGACTGACGTTTATTTTGTGACCAGGCCTCTGAGGCTCTCCTGGAGCAGTTGCTACTGATGCAGAGCAGACCGAATGCCTCCTGCTAAACCTCTTACAAACTTAGGACAGATTTACTGTAACAGTGCAACCTGAACCTAGTCACTCACGAGCGCTAGATACAGCTACAAGCCACAGCAGGGATTCCTCCACAGATGATGAAAATATGTTAAAAATGCAGTATATACAATATACTTTTAATTACAGAGCCTGGCTTAAAAAAAATGTTATTTTTAATCAACACATGCAAAACCTATGAAAGTATGACTAGTATGCATCTTTTCATAGATTAAAAATCAATACAAAAATAATAGCCAGGATGCAGACGTCGGTGAATTCTGGCTTGTGGAAGAGTGCAACTTGATTAGCGAGGTTAAAATTGCTCCATTTCCTCAAGCACAGCACCCCTGCCACCTTCTGCCGCGGTCTCTCCTGCAGTTTCTTAGAATCATTTCATGAAGGAACGAACCAGGAGCATCAAGAATATTTTGGGAGCAAGTCCCACTCCACAGAGAACGGCAGCCCAAACTGCGAGCGCTTAATCTCAGCTCCAGCACTGACGTACGGCCAGCGAGCTCGCGGCAGCCGCGCCTCCCCTCTGCTATTCCTTACATGGCAGCAGAGTCTACTGCTCGCCACCGGAATGAGGAGGTACTTTGGGGAGGCTCTGCTGTCATTCTGGATAAAATACAAAATGCTATAGCCAAAAAGCATAAACAGAAAGGTCTAATCTTTGTAAGGAAAGAAAAAAACCTCTTCTGCTACTTGAAACGGGCTCTTACTATGATTGTTTGCAGCAAACGCTCTTGAGCATGGTCTTGGCTGAAAGCATGAATGCTACCGGTTTCCTCATTAGTACAATCAACATTTTTATAGCTGGATTAAAATGGAATGAAAAAAAACCCCAAAGTGAGAGCACGACTGTTAGAAAGAAGGAAGGATGGACCAAAATGCTATGGAGGACAAACACAAATCAATGTTAATTTTTTTTTTAAAGTTTCATATAATTCCTTGTAAAAAAATAAATCGGGGAATAACATTAGGACCATTAAAATTGTAACAGAATAAAAATATTTGAGCATAGCTGGTGAGACGGTTATTTGTCTAGCACTTTAAAAATCATCAGACTGCTGTGGCTGTACCTGCATGGTTAATTTCTTTAAATTCTATTAGAAATAATCAGTGCCTCTAACAACCGTATCGACATGGCAAAATAGGCTGCAGACCAATCACGTTATTCACTAAGCAATGCCCGCAACAGAAAAAGTTTTGTATTTCCAGTGTTTTTCAGGGTTGGTCATAACTTTACAGAGCAGAGTTTAACAGAAAAAAGATTAATCAGGAAGCGATAAACAGGATGCAGACTATTTACTAGAAGGTACGAAATCCATCATTTCCCTCTGGAGTATTGTTTTGGCACAACTGAAAGTGCCTCAGGAAAGAGTCTCATCAAAACTTACTTGCCCAGACAGTACAGCTTGTATTCCAAAATACATAACTTATGTGAGTTTAAGCAATTTACAAGAGCAAAAGTGAAAAGGGGAAACATACTGTTCTCCCGGACAAGGCAGAATTCCAAAGTGCTCTGGCTCTCCAAGGTACAGTCTAAATCTACTGGGACATTAGGTTCACTCTGCTTCTCCAGCCGATACTGAGGACCTGAAACATAAAGTAACTTGTAAAATCATCTGTTTTCTAGCAAAGTGATGGCTTATCACGTTCAACTAACATGAGATTACTCGTAGCCCAGAAGTAAGGCAGGTAGATGTTTATGTTTCAAAGCTCTTTGCCAAAGGGAAGGGCCCTATCATAAAAAGGTGGAGGATGGTGTGCAAGGAAACAACATATGCCAGCCATCTTCAGCTGTCTAACACTCCCTGACAAACTCCTGTCCAACATTTCTGCATTACTACCACACCAGATGAGGCTGTATTAAATACCCTGCCCGCGCTGCAAGGCAGGGGTACTGCCTGTTGTAGGAAACATCTGCTCAGACCTTGGTGTACATCTACGTTGCATTACTTGGGCATCTTTCCTGACGTGAAAAAACACAATGTGTTTGCTCCCCTTCGCTCTGCCCTCTCTGTGGCTCTTCACAGACTGCAGACAGGCTGCTTGAACGTCCCCCCGGCTGCTGTTTGCGGGGGGACGAGCCGCCTCCCGCGCCGCTCGGGGCTGCAGCACGCCGCAGTCCGGCCCCGCCAGGCAGGAGCTGCCCTGCCTACCCGAGTGCGTTGGGAGGAAAGCCTGCTTCCTCAGCACAGGCTCAACACACGCGGACACACGCTCTCCGCAGGTACGGAAAGCCAAGGAAAGCCGGGCTGCGCAGGTGAGGCTGCCGCAGTCGCGGCAGCGTCTGCACAGAGCACTGAGCAGTATCTGGGAAGGAAAGCAACCCTTCCTTTATGAATTGCGTTTTGTGAAAACCAGCTCCCTGACACCAAATTTGGCTATTTCTACCTCTGCCAACGGTGCCTTTCTCAAAAGGCTGCCCTTCGGCAGCGCGGGGTGAGGATCGCCTTACACATCGGCAGTGGTCGGCGCTGTTTTCCAGACTGACTCGAGATACCGTGCCGGCTGGAGTTCGGCATCAACCAGCAGCTCAACAGCTCCAAGGAGCAGAAAGAGTCATCGAGAGACAGATTTTATCTTTTTCCAGAGATCTGTACACTGTTAACATTGAACTGCATCAAACATAAGCGCGTACAGATGCTGTTGCTTCATATGAATTATTTTCATATACACTGCATTTAACTGTAGATCTTCAAGATTCAGGTGCCAACTGCCTTCTTCTCAAACCAAATCACTGCAGGAAAGATACTACTTAAACTGTTTTCCAACTACAGAAAATGTATTAAAAATTGTTTTTACAAAAATTAGGCCACTTTTTTCTAAAAATCTTTTAGTTGAATGGATCCTTGAACTATACACCTTAACTGGAATCAAAAAAGAACACAGTAACACCATTCCAGGTGAAACCCTGTAAGCCAGCTCCAGGCCTGCTGTCCGATCAGCCGGCGGGAGGGATGCGACGGGGCGAGAGGTGTGGCTGGGGCAAGCCAGGCTCCAGGGGGCCCCGGGCAGAAGAAAGCCACTTCCAAAGGCGGGAGCTGGCGGAGGCAGACGCGCTCCCGTCCTCGCTGCACCCCCATGCAGCGCAGGGCCGATCTCCCCTCCTGCTCACATGAAGTTCTCAGCTGCTTAATTTCTGTATAATCCAGTAAAATAATGCTAAACAGATATTTAAAAAAAACTTTAAGTGATGCAAAGCACCTTTAACCAGGTCTTAATGTAACAAAAAAAACTAGAACTGAAATAACGAAATCTATTCCCTCTTTATCAGTACTTAAAATATTTCTGAATGTTTCCTGACTTTGAATTATGATAGTATATGATGAAATATTTAAAACATATAAAAAAATTAAGTATTTTAGCCTCAGATGGCATGCCTAAGAAATGGAATTTGTTAGCCAATTAATTTTAAATTTACTACAGCAGAATTTCAATTACAGCTTCTCATTTCATCTCCCCAGAAGCTATGTGAAGCGCTCGCTGCACGGCCCAAGCGCGTTCTGCTCCCGAAGTGGAACATTATTTCTCCATAAAACGGAGCCCCCTCGTTCCCGGTGACTCTCAGAGCAGAGACAGAGCCAGGCTGTTTGCAGGCCGCAGGAGGAAAGCACAACTGCTCCCTCCACGCCCAGCGCCATCAGCAGCCGCACGTGTAGCTGGTCGCAGCGTTTACAGAACAAACTGCGCTCGAGAAACAGCAGAGACGTCTCATACCAGCGCAAACAGCAGAAAGGCAAATACATACAGCACCATCATTTCTCCTCTCCCAGCTACTGGAAATGTGATTAAAAATTTAAAATAAATTAAATAAACAGAGGCCTGGCTTGTTAGGCAGAAGCAAAATACACTGAATTGAAACAAATATCAAAGTGGTAAATCAATTTGTATTTAAAAACTGGTGCAGGTTTAAAAACAGAATCAGCAACAGCAAAACCTGCTTGCTTTGTCCGTTTGTAAGAAGTGCCTTCCAGAGGTTCCCAAACCACATCCAAAGGCTGAACGACAGCCAGCAGAACTGTTGGTTCCCATCTGAACGCCTGTGTTCTTGGTACCTGGTACCAAATCCCAAACTCCACGCGCTCCTGCCACAGACGGAGCCTTGTGCCTCCACCAGCGCCACAGCCCACGATCACTGGGACCAGGGCCTGCTGACGCCAGCGCCCATCGCTGTGTCCCAGCTCCCTGGTTCTTCATTACAGCCTCTCTCCCACTCCCACCCCAAAAACATTCAAAGTCAGAGCAGAGGAAGAAGTGAAGTTAGCCCCTCTTGGAACCATTAACGGCGGGACAGGCCTCCCTGAGCATGGCTCCGCTCCCGCCCAGCCTCGCCTGGCACCTCCACGGGTGCCCTCCAGGGTGGACGCACCCAGAACATGTGTGCAGTGAGCCAAGCAGGTCTATTCCATAAAACACATTTTGAGGTATTATACCTTCACCACTAAATAATTTCTGTTCATACCATTTTCTTTCATAGGCTCAGTGCTGCACGAGAGCTGCAGCAGGGGACTGGCACTGAACCACAGGCTGCGCTCTCCAGCACAGGGGGATGGACTCGCCCCTGTGTTTCTGAGACGGTGGGATGGGGCAAAAGGACAGACAGCAATGCTACCAAAGCCTTAAAGTCAGCAGAGAATCATATGCACACAGCGACAAGGGGCCAAGGTTAAAAGTGGGAGCTTGGCAGTGGTTTACCCTCCCTCTGCGTGGATCCCATTCCACCAGCTGGATCCACTCAAAAGAACATCACCCGTCTCAGAAACAATCCCCACGCTGCTGAACGAGCTTCCCGCCACGCTGCGGAGAGCCATCGGTGATCGTAACCTTCAACACCGCCATGCCAATGTCAAAGAGGATTTTTATCTGCAGCAACTTGAGAATCCTGTGATCAGGTAAATTGTTTTATCCAGTTTGTGTCATGACTGTCTGCTAATAAAGCAATGAAATAGAGCTACAGGTCGGAAACCAAGGCAACCTTCCATATGAGTAACTCCTTTAAAACAGAAAATACTAAGAAATTCATAAAAACGTGTAAATGGATTTTTAGAGAGTATCTACTCTTAAATAATATATTTTAAATATCTTTACACATTTACACAACCTCTGCTTCACAACAGATGAAAAATGTTAGGCTGATTCTGCGGAGGAGTTTTACTACCAGACTTCTCTCACAAGTTCAAATGATGTCATTGTAGTAGAAATATTAGGTAATTTAATGGTCTCCTAACAGAATACTGCTCTGGGAATTTCAACAAAATTTCAAGTGGTAATACCAAAGCTGGATTTTATGGATTTCTGTAATCTGATGCAAACGCTCTGCGCAGTTGTAAAATAAACCTTTAAAACCCTGGCACGTAGCTGTCCTGGCCCGCGACCCAGGCAGAGCTCCCCCGCTGACGCAGGGCCCGCTGCTCCGGCACGTCCCGCGCCCGGGGGCTGCAGCCCGGGGCTCTCGCACGGCGCTGCTCGCTGGAGCAAGGCGGAGAGTAAACCACGCGTATTATATTCCACCACCAAGCTGGGAGCAAGTACATTAAAATGGAAGTTGCGAGGGCAAAATACCCAGAAGACAAAGCCAATGAATAGAAACCCCTCTTCTAGTTCTGTAATTTTGTCACAAATTCTTGGAGAGCGAGAAACCGTTGCTGGGTTAAAGCAAGCAGGGCTGGAGAAAAAAGCGTTCATGTGTCTGGAGAGGAAGGAGGGAACCAAGGCAGCAGTCTGAAACGAGCCACAGAACGGTGAAAGAGAAGTGGCTGTACCTTCAAGAGAATTCTTTTTGGCCAAAAACCAGCAGAGATTTGTTTGGGGCCCCAGAGGCACCCCCGGCCTCCCCGGGAGGGTGGGAGAGCCGGGCCCCTTCTCCGCCAGATCTGGTGGCCTGAGGCATTGGGTCTTCCCCATTCTTGGGCCACGCTCCTGGTAAAGCGTCCCCGCATGCAGGAGCGAGTGCCTAAACCACACGCAGCAAATACTACCGGCAACAGCAATTTCTCTCTTCTAGACTCGTTTTGGTGTAGTGACAGACCAGCACCTGGTCAACAGACGGAGGTGCTCACTCCCAGGGCCGCGCTCGCACGCCTCACCTGCGGAGCTGGTCCTCCGTAACACATGTCCCTTCCACTAAAATCCCCATTTAACCATCCACACCACGGTTTCTGCCTACAGATATCCATTGTACTTCGTTATTTCAAGATACCCCGTTAAACAGAGAAAGGTTTATCAGGAATTAATAACAAAGAAACAGCCCCCAGTACTACACCCACAGCTTCCCTATGGCACAACACAAAGGTGCCCCAGGAAGGATCCCACCGCATAATCAAATTAAGCAGCTCTCTTACAGAAGGCGAATGGCCATCCGCATAACAACAAACCAATTCTGTTGCCATTTAAGCTGCAAAGCCTTCAGAATGGGGTTTTGAAAGCATGACCCATCAGTTCTAATTTTTAAAACTTATCCTTTCAGTCAAGACTAGAAAAAGGCCCATTCCAACTTTTATCTTCACTACAAAGTGCTGTTATCTTGGGCTGATGTCAGGAGCTCTATCTCTCTTTCTGCTGACAAGCAGAGACGAGAGAGATAAGATTGG